GGGCTATGCGAGCTGTTAGTAAAAGGTCTGACATTGTTTCCATTTACCCTTTCATACAGCAATAACATTTAGATACCATGGGAATTCGCATCCTCTTAAGATTATCGTCTGTAGCAATCTTCATCCTCCATACCCTCCAAAAAAAACTGATCTGAATAGGCAATCCTTTCATCCACATATATCTTCGCCAATTCTCTTTTTCCCGTCTACCTCTCACTCTATGATATGTTGATTTCACAGTAAAAATACAAGTTGAGTCCACCAAGTCGTATCAATGCATGTCTCCAATGTCTTACGATTGATGTTTTCAACTATGTGTTGCACCATCTCCTCTGATATAGTAGCTCTTAACTTTGTCACATCCCACACTCCGTTTAAGATTAATTCTTTCTCCTCAATTTCCTCCTCTTGCGTCCAATCTCCTTTTGTATAGTATAGTGCTCCTTCCTTAGTCCCGTTATCGAACCAAAAGCTTGAATTCCCAGCTTTTAATTGCCACCAAATGTTATGCTCCACTTCATTCCTTTCCATTATCATTTTCCTCCATACTTGTGAAGATCCCAAACTTGTGACAATCACAGGATGCAATTTTTTATAATACTTTGCCCATAGTTATGTTGTGGAAAATCTAAAATTCCACCAAAGTTTTGCTAATAGAGCACTATTTCTATCATGTAATGATCTTAAACCAAGTCTACCCTCTACCTTAGGATAACATAACTCTCCCCCTACTACCCAATGTTTTCCTTTGAGTCCTCCCAAGTTTCCCCAAGAAAACTTAGCAAAAACTTGGTGAATTTGTTCCAACACCTTTCTGGGTGGGTTTAAAGTTGACAACACATACACCGACATTTATTGTAGCACATTATTAATGAATATCCATTTCCCACCAAAAGTTAGAAATCTATTATGCCATGTAAAGATTCTTTTGGCAATTTTCTGCACCATCTCTATATAATAACTTGATTTCCTCCTTCCATAAAAAAAAATTGGACATCCTAGATATGTAAAAGGAAAATTACCTTGACGTATTCTTGTCAACCTTCTCATTCTAATAGTTACTATCAAAGGAGTATTGTCATGCAAATAAAAGAAACTTTTTGATTTATTGATCTTTTGTCCCGACACCAGTTTATACTCTTTCAAAATCCTCATTATTATGATTATTGACCCTCTATCTTCTGATCCAAAAAGAATTGTGTCATCCGCATACGAGAGGTGATTTATCTCCGGACTTTACTTCGGAAGTCCATATACCTTGATAGAAATAACCCTATGCAAACTATTTAAACCTCTTGAAGATTGGAAAAAACCATGAAAGATGCCATTTACGATTACTGAATACCAACTATTAGATATTATCCTCCACACCATATCAATAATCTCCTCTGCAAAACAAATTTTCTTAACACTTTTGTAAGGAAAATCCAAAAGACTCGATCATACGCCTTGGTGATAGCTAGTTTTACCACCACATTTATATCTTTGGTCCACATGTTAATATCTTTTTTTATTTCTCGCGCCAATACTATATTCTTTGCAATGCTCCTTCCTTTAACAAAACCTGACTGATTTAGAGAAATAATATTTGGTAGAACCAATGTTAACCTCTCATGCAACATCCTGGAAATGATCTTAATTCATAAAAGTGCTGAGACTTATGGGTCTAAGGTCTGAAAAATGCCTCACAGATTATTTTCGGGCAGCAATACTAGATTCGTATGTGTTATAAACTTGGGCAGCTCTTGCCGTAGAAAAAATTTTTCACTGCATTTGCGATATCTTCCCCTAAAAATTCCCAACAACTTTGAAAAAATTGACCTGTAAAAAGCCATTAGTTCCACATCCAATGCTTCCATTTAGAACAAAAACTACTCTTTTTACTTTCTCATGATCTGGAAGCTTTGTCATTTTTTCATTCTCCTCTGTTGATATGTACTTGGGAATATGATCCACCATTGTGTAATCCTCTGCTCTATACTCCTCTTAGAATTGATCCTAAAATATGCCACTGCTGCATTTCAAATTTCACTATTGGATTTTAGTTCCTCTCTTTGCTCTGTAATTATTTCAGTGACCTGAAGATTTTTTCTTCTCCCCTTTACATATGAATGAAAATATTTGGTATTCATGTCTCCTTCTTTGAACCACTTATTCCCGCTTTTTGCCACCAGAAATCCTCCTCCAACCTCACATATTTTATTAGATCCATTTCAACCTTGCTCAATTCCGCCCTATTGTCTACAGATGGGTTTATCTGTAGCTGCACCTCCCTTAATTTGATAATGTATTCCAAGGTGGCAATTTGTTGAAAAAAATTACCAAATACTTCTTTACTCCAAGTGGATAATGCCCTCTTAACATTCTTCAGTTTAACGTGTAATTCAATAAATGAATTACCAACAAAGTCGACTTTCCAGTTATCCTCTACAATCTTCTTAAACTGCTTATGCTTGCTCAAAAAATTCGTGAATCTGAATGGTTTAACTGTTGGAACTTCATCACTGTTGCTCATATGAAGAGGAGCATGATCTGATCCCTGTCTGATAAGATGTTGGACCTCAGATGGAGGAAACAAATCCAAAAACTCTTGATTTACCAAAATCCTATCCAATCTTTTAAATATGCAAGCTTTATCTATTCGACCATTCCACAATGTATATTTGCTTCCGGAAAAATAGAACTTCACACAGAGCATTACTACTAATGAATGAGGAAAAATCAATAGCTTCATTTATAATGAACTCCAGCCCTCCCAACTTTTCCTCCTCATTTATAATAACATTGAAATCTCCCCTAATGACCCATGGACATTGTACATTCTTTGCAATGCTCTCAAATTCCTCCTACAATTCCAGTCTCTCCATTGCCAATCTCCTTGCATACACCACAAAAATCTTAAATTCCTTATCATTCTTTTTTAATTGAAAAGTGAGCTGCTGCAAAGTGTCTGATATAACACTGCCTTCCATCCTTCTTTCCAGAAACACCAAAGTTTCCATTGATATTTACTCCAGCATTATCAAAACCAAGTCTCCTTTTATATTGTTCTAACTCTGAAGGTTTTCTAAACAGTTCCATTAGAGCTATAAATGAGTAATGATGCCTATTATTTAAATCCAATTACCTCTCAAAAGATTTTTGAGTATTAATGGATATGAATGTTCCAAAAAAAATATTTTTTCAATCATTGATTGATGCTAGAACATCTCTCCCTACTACTCCTTATTTTGACCTGTAATTGAATTACTGATCTTCCTTTCCTCGCCCCATATTTCAAACTGTTAGTATGTCTTGGAGACAAATCACCAGCCTTACTAATTTGTTGAATGTTGTAATCCGTGTCTTCATCCTCTTCGGTATCTTTTTCATGCTGCATCAATTCATTATCTTCCTCTATTAAATCTGGACCTTTAGGAATTTCTCCCTCTTCATAACATTTTGCCCCTTGTCTCTCCATAATTTGTTAAAAATAAATTTCGTGAAGTGTCAGCGTCTTCAATCCCATCAGCCAGTCTGTCACCCACATTGTTAGTATTTGTCAACTATTCTTCCTCATTGGTGTCATTCTTAAACATCTTATGATCTGCATGTCGTCCCTTACTTTGGACCTGACTAATTGTACGTTCACTACTTGCTGCCCTTCCCATCTCCTATGAGTTTTTCATGGTATTTAGTAACTTCTTTGTTGGTATTTTTCCTTGTATTTCAGTAGAATTATCCTTTGACTTTCCTTGCTACTTGTCAATTACCTCATCATTGGCCTGCACATTTTCATGGTTCAAGGTTTGCTCTTGTTCTTCATTGTTCAGTTAGTTGAATTTGTTACCAGTTATGATCCCTATTCTACTCCATACTTTTTGAGGCTCCTTGTTTTTTACTCCCCCCAAACATTGCGTTTTGTTTCCACGAAACCTTCCCCTTTATTCTTATCTTCCACTCTCGCCAGTTTCTCCTTCCCTTTGTCATTAGGATTTTCTTCCTCTTTTTCCTTCCAACTGACCTGATTGCTCCTTGTGTGGATTTAATTCTTGATGTATAACATAGCATTGATCTTCATTGTGCCTTGAATCTTACACGTTTGACAGTACCGGGGGACATAATTGTAATTGATTTCAATCCACTTCTTCACTACTTCATTATTCTGCATCCTCATTCCATTTTAATTCATTTGGGGAACTCCTTTAGTAAATCAGTTCTACCTTAAATTTTGGGCAACTTGGCCTCGTCTGATTCTTCGTAGCCATGTCAACTTGTAAAGGTTTCCCCACTACTGCAGCTAATGAAAACACTGCTTCTTTACCAAAAAAATTTGGTGGGAGCGCAGGAAAGGAGATCCAAGCTATCGTTGTTGACGTTTCTTCCTCCAAATTAAACATTTTAATGTTCTCATGGGGTATGACCAATTCTTATGGGTAATATAAAATACGGGCTTATAAAGTAAGTTAACATAATCTTCTAATAATGTCGCCCTGATCAAAACATATCGATTGCTCAATAAGCCTATGTTGCATTTGCCCTTTAATTCACATTGCATAGGGATGAATTTTCTAAATTCTTGTATCTCTAGCCAAAGATAGGAAAATTTTCCCAATTTGCATAGTCAAGATTTTCATTGACTATCATCTGATTCACCTCCTCATGCTCCCTAATAACTTGTGGCTCACCATGCAGATATGTGATTGGTTTAAGCGGATGGATAGATAAAGAACTTTCTTTGTTTTCAACTTGTCAACATATGTACCTCCAGATGCAGATGGTAATAGGTCGACCTCAGGAGGAGGTTGACCTGTGGCCGTGGCGGCCATGGTTATCGGAATTTTAGCGGCGGCAGCGTAGGGTTCGTGGATGAGATATTGTTTTAGAGATTTTTTTTTAAATTCCGCTTTTTTCAAATATTTTGAATTAATATTACTTTTTTAAAAAGACTAAAACAGAAAAATGACAAACAAGGAATTAAGAGGAATGTGTTAAACTTCAATAAATAAAGAGAGTAAAATAGGAATAACCAACCTTAATGAACGACAACATGTCACATGTGGCGGTAATTCACAAAATATATTTGTCTTGTATCTGCTTTGGGGACTGGTGGACAGGAACCATTATATTTGACAAAATAATGTGTTGATTTCTTTGGCCATCGCCCCAGAAATTTTTTTCATTTTTTTGGAACAATGTTCTACAACCCGATGAGCTAATGTAGGGACTTCAATTTTGATCCTCATTTTTCTCTCTAGCTTACCCTTTTCCCAATCTAAGAGTTTTTATTCCTCTAATGGGTTTTGGGGGGACATGGGTTGTGTGAGCTCCAAGCAGGCCAGAGCCCATTCTCCGCCCCAACGATGCAATTCTTCTCTAACAACTCCTGTCATTATTAATGCAGAACACAATGTGCACCATGTCAAGGCTGGATTTGCTCCTCTTCAGAAGATCAAAGAGGAACCCAAAAAGGAGAAGAAGGCTGAATCATTAATCTCCTCTAATTCTAAGGCTTCGAAAAAGGGGAATTTGGATAAAAAGGCTAATTTTAGTATCAAATTTGGGAGGCTAAATGAAGGAGAACATTTGTCTGCAGGATGGCCTGTTTGGCTAACCGCCGTTGCCTATGAAGCTATTGAGGGATGGATGCCCCTTAAATCAGATGCCTTTCAGAGATTAGAAAAGGTAATTTCTTTCCTTTGCGTATTCAAAATTTAAATTTGATTGGTTCAATGGAAAATATTGTTTCATATGGAACATGACATTCACGATTCATATAGCCGAACCTAACTGGACTGGGATTGTTGATGTTTGTTGTTGTCATGAAAACATCAGTTCTCGTGATAGAGAAGAAAAATGGATCTTACATTATCTATAATACAAGATTTCAGATCATAAAAATGTATACTATGTTTTGATAATTGGTGCACGTGTTAAATGTTATTGCATACCGACACGATGAGCCATATAGGATTGACTTTCTAATTACTATTATACGATGAGCCGATGACCATTGTTTTTGGTTGGTCTTATTGTTTTACTCCAGATTCTTATGGCTGCTTATTTTATTATTTTCTTAGTGTCCTGAAATCCTGAACGGGATCTTGGCCATGAAATTTTGAAAGAAGAAGCACTATGAACCTTAAGTTAATTTGTAAATGCTAGCTCTGAAGGATACTTAGCATCGGCTGCGTTGACAATAACTTTTGGATAAATTTTCATCATACCATTTATATTGATAGGTTCATATATCCTACATAGTGATGTTTATGCTTGAAGTAGAGTTTGAGGATAGTTTAATTTATCCCCCGCATGCCAATTATGAGCTCCCCGTTCATTGAAACATAAGTACAATCATAACTTGAAGGAAACCGCAAGGGTACAACAATATAATAATTTACTGCAAGCAAATGTAACAAAAACGATGCTTGACAGATTTAACTCTTCAACCTAGTTATAATGAACTTATAGGAAACTATGCAAGATGTTAGACTGACATTATACGCTTGGTTTACTGCACATGGCTCAGGGATTTTGGAAATTTTGATAACATATTTAGGCCTTGACTGCCTAATTTCATATGCAATGGAACACGGACGTTTGGACTGACTATTTCAGTTGAATGTTACTGTTGTATGAATGCAGGTCATCCAGAAGGTGCTCAAAGATAGGAAAAGCTGACGAATTTAAGCTGTAGTTGTAGATATAAAAAGAAAGATGATTTGTCGATGTTCCTTCACTAGTATGAGTACTAGTTAAACATTATTGCTGAAACATATGTAGTTCCATCTCGAACTGTTTAGTTTTAAGAAACTAAACTCTGATTTTGAACTTTTCCCCTCACTTACATTATGTTATCAGAAAGAGGGCCAGTTCCACAATGAGAGCATCAGGAGCTTCAAGAAATTCAAGAAAGGTGCAAAAGTCGCTTCAAGAATCGAGCAACTTTGGAATAGTCTCAACAGAGGTCTTTTTCCAGTCATACATATAAACATACTTACATTCCTTTTTGATGGTACATTGACAAATTTCTTTTTATTCCTTATGAAGGAGGCTGAAGCCAATATCCATAACGGTCTTCGAAACATTGGTGGTAGTGGCCATATTTCTAAAGGAAAAGGAGCTACTGTGGCAGGCATATCAATGAAACCATCTTATGATACAGTGTCAGAGGCTTCTCAGACGACCGAAGAATCTCAAGGGGAAAGCATCCGATCTGTCCCTGCACAAACAACTTCAAGTGGCACTGCATGGGCAAAAATGAGAAAGCAAGATTCTGCAGCCTCAAGACCCCATCCACAGGCCAACTCAAAAAGTCAAAAGTTGATTGCCTTTGACACATCTAGTGTACTAAACTTAGCCAATACCTTGTATTTAAACATGTCAGGTAATAATGACTTTACGAGCAGGATCAATAACGATGCCAGAAGCTACAACAATGATGCAAAGCATTCTATTAGCAGGCAATACAATCATCATGAGCAACAAGATTCTTTTGGATCATCTGATATACAGCAGTCACAGGAGATGTCAGAGGTTCGTATTCTTGATCTACTATACCTAGAATTTAATAGTAAGAAACTGAAACTTTTCTTTTCTGCTGTAACGCTAGCATAGGAAGGCTTTTATTTTTTTGGAGGAAAATTGATAAAATTGACCCGTAAGCTATTCTATGGCTAATTGAAACCGTTCCTCCGAACGTTTGATAGTAGTCAGTTGTGCAATGTTAAATTGTGTGAACAATTCATTAAAAAGCTAAAACTGTTTATGAACAAACTTTTATTTTCATAATTTTGTCTTCAACATACTGAAAAGAAAACAAAACTGTGCCTTCAACGTCTCCTCACGTGCGGGATTGATTCTTTTTCCGTGGGCCAAGTACATGGAAATTCTTTTTCGTAACAAGTGTCACTGAGACTTGAACCCCCAAGATTTCTATTTACACTAATACCATTTTAAGATATAAACTTGAGCTGAACTCAAAACCAAGTACTAGTTCTAAAATTACTACAATTATCTGAGTAATTGATTACTAGATACAATCAGTTAAACTACAACTGATTTATTGCGTGATTCATAGATTTACAGCCTTAATTGCATTTAGTGTCCCATATCGGTTAATGGAATGGGTCCCTATATAGTTTGGGACAGTCCTCACCAAATGATCAAGTTTTTAGAGTTGAGTTAGCTGCAAGGTCTATTTTCTTTTCCCATTCCTATCGGTGATTTACTCGATGTTAGGCTCTCATTCTTATGTTGTCCATGCTTCAAATATCCGGTACTAGGAGAGTGTATTAACGGTCCAAAATTTGTTGCGAAAATGGGATGTCATCTCTTTATATAGTCTCGGACTATCATCTCCTCATGAACGAGCTAAGTTTCATTTAGGCTCGAACTTCATTTTCTTTGCATGGAGATATTATTATTGTTTTGCTTTGCAAGCTCTGTTGTCTGTGAAAAATTAGAGCAATGCCTATGATAAACACACATCTGACACATAAAGCGATAGTAAATGATACAAGTGTACTGTATTTTTAATATATGCAATGCTACAACCTAGATGGTAAAGAGAGAGTATTCAGAAAGATGAGAGATGTAAGGATGAAGGTGTGTTTTATTTATGAGGAGAGCTCCTCTATTTATACACAAAATTTACAGACTTTTGGCCAAAAGTGGCCGACACATACTTTACACTTGGCCTCCCTATATTCGGCCAACACAAGAAAACAAAATACTTACTATTACTACTTTACATAATTGGCCGACAAACTTTTTACATGATTGGCCGACAAACTATTTACTTTACGACTTTTATACAATTTGGCTTTTTATAGCCGATGCAACACGACAAAAATAAAAGACTCTTACTTTATACATATGGCTAAATGGAGGGGATGGAAGCGTAAAGAGAGAGTATTCAGAAAGATGAGAGATGTAAGGATGAAGGTGTGTTTTATTTATGAGGAGAGCTCCTCTATTTATACACAAAATTTACAGACTTTTGGCCAAAAGTGGCCAACACATACTTTACACTTGGCCTCCCTATATTCGGCCGACACAAGAAAACAAGATACTTACTATTACTACTTTACATAATTGGCCGACAAACTTTTTACATGATTGGCCGACAAACTATTTACTTTACGACTTTTATACAATTTGGGTTTTTATAGCCGACGCAACATGACAAAAATAAAAGACTCTTACTTTATACATATGGCTGATATTTAGCCAACACTAGTAACTCTTAACTCTTTTTTTTTATCCTAAATCAACTGTAGGTATCATATTGTCTTCTCCGTTGCATTTGGAGCATTTGTGGTCTGGATATTTGTTGTTGATAAGTTTGCAATACCTTACTAATAATTCTTCTAAAATAAATCCTTTCTTCAAAGCTCTCGTAGATGATTGTTCTTCTGGTTGTAATAATGACAAAATCCATCTTTGAACTTCGTCCATATCTGATTTTCTTAATTCTTTGGAGTTTGCATATATCATTACCTGATCTCTTGC